CACCCTCCGCCCGCCCTTCCGATCCATCCAAAACTACAGACAGGGCAACTTGCTCGAAGCATACAACGCTTTCGAAAAAACCGCCAAGTAATTCCACTCTTTCTCCCTTTCTTCTTCTTCTTCTTGTTATTTCAATTCACTACAATTCCTTAAAACGGTGGAGTTCAGTGCGTTTATCCAGGAGTTTCGCAATTGGGAATCCGCTTGGGCTCTCGAAACTTTGTACGTCATTGTTTACGATATTAGGGTTCTCGCCGAGAAGGTATTATTTATTATCTATCATGTTCAGCTAATTTCTTTTTATTTTCCCCCCTCTCTGGAAGTTTGGCTTGACTCTGTTTTTTTCTTTTCGATTTTAGGCTGATAGAGAATTGGCTTCGAATGGGAAATCTCCGGAGAAGTTGAAAGGCGCTGGTTCTGTCCTTATGAAAGTTTTTGGCACCCTTGCGGTATGTCAATATTTCGATTCAGTTTAATTTGAAATCTAATTATGCATTTTGAATTTAGTTTTTTTTTTTTTTTTTTCCAATGGCGACAAGACAAGGTTGGAACCAATCTGAAAACCAATTTATGGTATTAAACACACAGGATGATTTTAGCTAGCTTTAGTACTTTACTTCTACTCTTCTATCTAATTTTGCTGGTTTTTATACATATTTCCACAAAAAATGTCCTAATGCATTTTCTTCCCCTCTCGAACTGGATGGAAGAAATGACTGGATTAAAACTGACCGAACACCTGAGATTTAGCAGTTGAGGACCTCCAAATTAAACATTAAAAATATTTTATTATAATTTTCTCTCTTTACGGTCTAAAATTTGGCCATTTTTGAACCTAATTGTTTTTCTAGGACTTGCAGGACAAATTGTTTCTGTGTCTACCTATTCTTCTACATACTTTGGATGAAAGAAAAATTTCTAATTATATGAATCCTTTAAAAAAAAAACTGTCCATGCTTTGTGTTTTCATTGTGCAACATATATTTCTATGCTGCTGACTGCGATAAGTTAAATGTGGAGTTTGGCTTACAGAGGTACTCAACTGACTTGTAACTGTATTCTAGGGGAAAGGCTCTAAGCGTGTTGGAGCGTTATATGTAACTTGTCAGTTATTCAAGATTTACTTTAAGGTATTTGTTGCTGCTTTTACTTCTGTTGTTGGTGATTCATACTTTCATAGTGCTCTATTTATGATCTCATTTGTTGATATGCAATGACACTTTTCAGAACTTGTAGATTGGAGTTAATCATTTGTATGACTTGTTTATTGGAATCAGAGAATGTTGGTTACTGCCTAGGACAGAGATAAAAATGACATTTGTGGTTGAAAATTTAAATTAGAATTTGATTTTTATTCTGTTAATGTCTTGCAGCTTGGCACAGTTCACCTTTGCCGCAGTGTAATAAGAAGCATTGAAACTGCACGGATATTTGATTTTGAGGAATTTCCCAAAAGAGACAAGGTTAGAGTTGGATTAATTTATACAAGTTTATGTCTGTTAGTTTAAGGATTTTTATCCTGTCAACAAATTAGAAATCACTTTTGGTATGACTTTCAAAGTAATTATTATGAATGTCAATAACTTTACTGTATACAGTAATCTATGATTGGGTGATACTGAAAAAATCATCTCTCTGTCAATGTATTTTAATTAAACTCTGCTTATATACATATAATATCTAGGTAATTTATCTTTATGCCATGTTTCAGGTCACTTACATGTACTATACTGGTCGTCTCGAAGTTTTCAATGAAAATTTTCCTTCTGTAAGTGATCTATATTTCTTTTATTTCAATTGATGATCTGCTTGTGTTCTGTGTTCAGACATATTTTGTAATGCATGCTAATTTTATAATTTTCTGTTGATGGCTGTGCTAATTTTATATTTTATAATTTTATAATTTTCCTATGTGGTTGCAAGCAAAAGTGAATAGAAGTGTTGTTTTTTGTTATGAAGTTTATTATAATTATTACTATTATTTTTGAAGGATATTACTCCAGTCTAGTATAATTCATTCAAAGAAAAAAGGGACAAAATCGTGAAGTAACCACATTATCACTATTTTCAAATTATTTACTTTCGGACAATTGAAAATAAATTTTTCGATAATTAAATAAAATATATCAACAGCTAAGAACTACGATAAACACATTTTCTTTCATAAACTCAAAATTTAAACAAATATGGCATGCTTGTATGTTGGTTGTTGTTGTTACTATCTCATGGGTGGTTCATCTGAATCATGTCCTATTTTACCTGAATTGTACCTATCCAGCCGTGCAACATTGAAGAATATTGAAAATATTCCTTAAGATTTTATAAAATCATTTATACAGTTTATATTTCTTACTTGACAGGCTGATTATAAATTATCATATGCTCTGAATCATTGCAACCCTCAAAGTGAAGCCAATATAAGGTTTGGTTCAGGTGTGCCAACAGTGTACATTGCATTTGCATGAAATGGGTTATTAGTAGGTTGTGTATATATTTTACTTGCAATTATACATGCACCGTAAACATGCTTATATATATATATATATTTTTATTTTATTTTTTTCTTTTCTTTTCTTTTTTGTTGGAGATGGGTAAGACTCGGCTTTAAAATTGCTTAGTGCTTCTTTTATATAGTTTATTAACTCAAACCTTTTCATATATTTATCTGTTAAATACTCTTGTTGGATCTAAGCCAATAAAAGAAATATCTATGAGTAAGATAAATGAGGTTGAAAAGCTTTGATTAAGAAAATTTATCAATTGTTCATCTCATTGTTAAAGGAAAGTAAGAAAAGAAAGCCATTTATATTATCTTTAAACGAGTATAAAGGTTTATGACTTATTGTTTTTGTTTGACATAGGATGATTCTTAAACATCTAATTCCAGTGAAGCTTTCAATAGGCATATTACCTAAACATAGTCTCCTGGAGAAGTACAATCTACTTGAGGTATCTTGGGTGCTTTATTGAGGATTTTTACTAATCCTTATTTTTCTCTTTGTTACTACGAATGTTTCTCGTCTTATATTTTTATTACTAAACTTTTCAGATCCACTAGGTGCCAACTCTGTTATGTTTCCTTGTAAACCATAACATAGTTTACTTAGCTAATTGACTAGGCTGGCTGGTGAGCTTGTTCAGACAAGTCAGAACAAAATAAATTAACATGTATTATGATTCAAGTGTCGGTTTGCAGGTCATATACCCATCAACTTCTTGATGAGAACTCTTCTTTTTTCAAGAAAAAAACTTTGAATAACCACACTATAATACTACTTCCATTCCTCTATATAAGATTGAATTACCTACTTGCCTAAGATTAAGAAAAATAGTTAATTTAGTTGATAACAATGAATTTGTTTTATTTATATATATTTTTTTAAAACTACTGTATTATTACTTCTCTTTTCTAATTTATATTCATATCTTCTAACCAATTAGAATATATGTCCTATACTATTTATCTCTCCTAATTAATACTCATATCTGTCCTAACCAAGTAGAGTGCATGCTCTTTAAATAATTTATAATTAATGCATTTTCTCAAATTAAGAGAACACACTTTAATTAAAGGTATTTTAGTTTAAAAATAATTAATATATGAGATAATATGAATTAAATCTTATATAAAGGAACAAACGATTGTTCTGAATCGGGTCTTATAAATAAGAATGAAAGTAATAAAATAATTAATATTCAAAATGTGGCCACTGTGGGACAGATGATGGTTATCATGTTTATGCTTCTACCACAATCAGTAATGATATATACTCATCTTTTAGAATCTCATGACTCCTATTTTAAGTATGGTTGTCTTTCTAGGAAATTTGGATATTTTATTCGAAGGAAAATTTTCAATAAATAAACCCTTCACATTAACCAACGGGATGAATATGTAGTATAATTTTCTTAAGAAAGTATTCGTTAGATTTATTGCCTTTGGTAGTTGGCATTTACAGTATTTACATCTTTATGTGCCTTAGAAATGCTAATAATCTGTTTTACTTTTGGACAGTATAGTAATATTGTACAAGCTCTAAGAAGGGGTGATCTTCGACTTCTTCGGGGTGCTCTCCAAGATCACGAGGACAGGTAAAGTTGCCAATCATTGTTCCATGATGAGGAATTGTTGTTGTTCCTAAATTCAATATAGGGGGCATAATTAGATTCACTTGTTTTTTTATAGGTTCTTGAGATCAGGTGTATATCTTGTCCTTGAAAAGTTAGAACTCCAAGTATACCAGAGATTAGTAAAGAAGATGTAAGTATCCAGTATCACCTTGCACCCTACTATTCCAAAGTATATTAGGATTGATAAATGACTTGGCTATTTACTGAAATCACTAGTTTCATATTATTTTTTGGTTGCGACATGGCAGTTACAACATTCAAAGGCAGAAGGACCCAAGCAAAGCTCATCAGGTGAAGTTGGAAGTTATTGTTAAAGCAATGAAATGGCTTGAAATTGATATGGACGTGGATGAGGTAATTTCTTTAATTTTCCTCGTTCTCTACTACCAATTTGTTTGTGTCTTTGAAAAATAAATGGAATGAGGATATTGCTGTTTCTGATGCATTTTTTAATTGATATATGATGCTTTTGCAGGTAGAGTGTATAATGGCCATACTGATTTATAAGAATCTTATGAAAGGTTACTTTGCCCACAAAAGCAAAGTGGTTGTATTGAGCAAGACCGACCCTTTCCCCAAGTTAAATGGAAAACCTGTCGGTTCTTAGGGACAGCGTCATTCATGATACTGAAATTTAGAGGGGCAAAGGAAAGCATGGTAATGACTGGATGATTTTGTGACAGTTTTTTCAGCCGTGAGTTTATTGTGTAGAATGTTTGAGAGTTCTCCCGAACACGTGGTCTTCAAAATATCACAGCACTGCTTCGGTTTTAAAGCAAGCTACATTATCTTGTTTAGACGATGCTAACTCTTGCAAATTGGGTAGTAGTTTAGGTTCCACTTGTGTTGTATGCCGCAAAGATGCTACCATTGGAAATAACCTGTTGAAGATACTGACCTCATTGCAATAACCTGATTCTTTTAGGCTGTGGCTACGGATCCAAGGCTATGTTGGACATACAATTGTGAATTGTGAATTTGCGATGTATGTGTATCTTGTGTTTTTGCTTTCGACTCTACATTAACATTCTTGTTTATCGGTACCAGCCTTTTTTATTTGTCTAAATAATTTCCCTGTTTCTTATTAGTTTGATAAATTATTTAGAAGTGTATTTTTGTGAATTTGTTTTTCTTATTCCTATAGTCTCTAGAATTCATTGTCCAGCTGTTGCAGTTGTATGTGTTACATGCCACTTGATATGATATTCACATTGCCTAATATATATTTTTTACGTCCAAGATCAGGATCAGATATTTTATCAAACGATAAGTAGTCATGATTCTAATGGTCCAATGAAAAAGGTGTACCATAACCTTGTTATAATTGATCGACAATATTTTTCCAATATTGTTTTGGCAGTCTTCGTATAACCTTAGGCCACTATCCGATAGGTCTTACACTTGTTTGACACAATTTAATAGCTTAACCTTGTTCTAGTGGGAGGTAAAAGTTAAAATAGATGAGTGTAAGTTAGATCATTTTATTGAAAATTTGCATTCGTAAAGGAGACATCTAAGAAAATAACCAACTTAGGATTTAGAGAACGAATATTGTCAACAGTAGCTGGATAGTACTGGTGAACATTGCTTGTGATTACAATCCTTGTCATTTTAGGATTTGGTACTTTTTCAAATTCTTGTCTAATCTGCTTGTCAATTGTCATTTACATTTTTCTTCAATCTATAAACTGCATCAATTTAGATTCCTCCAAGGCTGGAAACCTGTTATTTAAAAAAAAATTACAAAAATTTAGGGAAAGGAAACGATGTCTCTCTAATTTAAAATAGAAGTAAGTCACATAACTCAAAACACTAAATTTTATTTTATTTGACCTTTTAGAGTTCTCATAAGACTTTACTAGCATAAAGTTTCCTGAAGTCACTAAAAATTTTGCTCATTTCTAACATTATTGAGGGAAAATACTAACAACACCGACAAACTTTTTTCCCCTTATTGGGATGAATTAAATAGTAAATTTAACCAAACAATATTTTTCTATAACAAGTCATCCCATAAACGAACAATTTATCTGTTGTTATGCGAAACACTCGAACAGTTTTATGCAAGCAAATTTTGTATATGCTCTACTCAGTCAAATATACCAAAGCTTGAAAGGAGAGGGAAACCAAAAATATAAAAGATAAAACTAAAAAAGTGAAGAGTTCATGTTTTGAATGAGTATTTGATTTAAAGATTTTCAACATATCATTGATTCGTTGTCTAGTACTTATAGGGTGTCATTCTTTATCTATCATTTTATTCATAAAAGAAAAAAAATTTATATCCTTTATCAATTATGAAACCCTAATATTCATTGATGAGCGATAAATAAACAAAAGTTAGATTGAGACAAATTTTGTAGAGCATTTATTTATTCTTAGCTTTAGCTTTAAATTAGACTCTCCTCCCCATCCCTTTTCAAAGAATATATAACTATAAATTTTTAAAAAAATAATTATGCATTATTTAGTTTGATTTTTTTTTGTTTCATTTTTCAAAAGTTTGTATACGAAACAGTTAAAACTTTATATATGTTTTCTCTTCTATCTATATAAACTTCAAAAAAAAAAAATTCTCAACATTATGCAAATAACAGTTATTAGTAACATTTATTTGCATAAGCTGGATGAATGCTTAAGGCATACAAAATGTGCTACTAGAGTATGAACTTCTAACTAAAATAGATGCACATATCAGTGTGATAATGTCATTTGGAAATCAGTGATGCCACATGAATTGTTAGCTATAATGCATTTAAAAATTCCTTTTTAGATGGATTTACAAGTTGGTTGCAGGATAAGATAATGAAACAGAACAGGAGACTTCCCGAAACGTGTATCCCATGTTGCAAGCAAATTCAAGAGGATCTGTAGAACTCCATTGCATGTACTAATCAGAAAATGTGATTTCATTTGCTGTACGTAGACGGCTGAACAATCTGATTATAACCTAGAAATTGTTGTAACTAGATATAAAAAAGACAGTAGAATTTCAAGTCAATCTTACAAATAAATATTTCCCTTGTCACTGATTTTGTTCTCTCTCTTTTTCCATTGGAAAATTACAAGAATTTACCATATTTGTTACATTTGGCATTTTATGGTCATGCAGCGGGGGAATAGGGGTAAATTCAAAAGATCCAATGATCCATGCATTCTTGGGCCAATAAATGAATAGAGAAGGAAAACCATGTGGTGATTGACAAGCTTTGATACTCAAATTACTGCTACATGACAATTAGTACTTGAGATCAAGATGGTCCCTGGCATTGCAGAGAGAACATTGAATAGGATAAGAACGTATATGGTGGCCAAATAATATAGAGAAAGATGAGATAAACCCTCAACTCTAGATTCCGATTTTGGATGGGTGCTCAAGCAAAAGCTAGCATAACCTACCTAAAGTCCTGTACAGTGTTGGAAAGACAACAATGAGGAATCTTCAGCTGTAGATGGATAGATTTCCAAATTGAGCCTAATTTCTAAGTGTATTTTGCTCAATTGGTCACGATAATTCAAAAATAGACGAGACCTGATGATAGATTGTTAAAAGCACAATTACTGTTAAAACGATAAAATAAGGCAGTTGTACTGCTATAGGGCACTGTTGACAAACCATAAGCTATTTGGATCAAATCCAAATACTGAATAGAGAAGGAAACGATTTTATCGTTACCCATAAACATAGATAGTTATTGTCTTATTCACATGACATTTCAACATGTCATCCTCATTTCATCTTAGTGCAAAACCCTCATGCTTAGTGCATGACCAACTTTTGACCAAGTCCAAGCGCCACAAGGCCAATTATGCTTAACTCGTGAGAAGTATGATTATTAACTCATTAGAACGTTGCTGCTGGACCAAGTCAAGTGCCAGCACATTGTCCAAGGCACTGATTAATTCTTACCACCGTGAGCTACAATGGAGACAGTGCCATGCCAGCCATAAACATGTTTATTTATTTTCAACAACATATTTCTGGATTTAATGGACTGCAGTTGTTTATGGACCGCAAGCAAAATGTGTCATATATAATTGAACATCACTCATTCAGCAGTAAGAGTATTGGGATAACTGCAGGAGGTGCATCATCTACGGATATGGGTATAAACTCAAGTAGCACCAGTACATTTGGGACCATAAACACAACCTGAAGCAAGTAGTCTCAAAACGACATTTCGGTTCTGCACCCCAGCCCACTTGGAGGACATCAGTGATTTACTGTTTTCATGTGACAACTTTGTCACAAACAACACAGATGGAGTACATAACCATATGTATGGCAGGATTCTGCTGCTCATATCACTATCATCTCTTATGTCTTCTTTTGCATATGTGTCCGTGTTCCCCACATTGCATAGAATTTACTCGTTAGAGTAGTAGCTGGCTAGTAATTCATTCATACAGATACAAAACCAATGCATATATCACATGTTAAGAGAAAGAATACAATTATTGACAATTGGAGACCCAGTAGTGGGGCATAATGGTTCTCCTTTTCAATTAAAGTTGTTGTTGTCACACCAACTCAATAATATTCTTGCATAATATCCTGTGATCCATGTAAATGAGACTAATGCTACAGTTAACCCAATTGCTAAGCTGGTATGCATACCTAACTTCCATTAGGTGAAGTTTGTCAGGATGCCTGTTTCTCTAAAATTCCTGGAAATGCGATGCTATTAACCCATTACTATCCAGCAAAAAATGAAGTTCAGATGAGATGAGCTTGTCAAATTCAAAGCCTATCAGTTGGGTTGAAAGTTGAAACTATTTAATCTGTCAGTGATATGGTTATGTTAGACCACAAGAGTGGATGTTAAAACTTTGGTATTGACTTTGCACGCAGGAAATGTTTAAGAATGGCCTTTTCTTCATCAACTTGTTTTTTCTCTTCAAGGTTCTTAGGTTTCACTTTCCTTTTCTCTTCCAGCATCCACTTGAAAATTTCACGTTGTTGTTCTTCAGGGATAGGAGCCTGTATTTGCACAGGTGTTGTGACAGGCACAAAGAAATCATCATAATATGAATCAATTGAACTTGTGATGGGTTCAGGAGGAACTTCAACAATATCTTTGCCCTTATGTGATTTTTTTTCTGTTCTTCTATTAATCACCATTGAATCTCTTCGTTTTGCTCTTGCAAATAGATAAGCTGCAATCAAATATAAATCATGGTGGAAAAGACACAGTAAATACTGATCAGTATATTTCAAACATTCTTCTAAACCAGAGGCAAAAGCCATTGGCTGTATACATCCAAAAAAATTTCCTAGTATCAAAAAGTTAGAGAGGATATGAGAAGTTGAAGACCAACAAATAAATGATATTTTACCAACCATGCAGCATCATGTGATTTGTACAAGGATAACTATGAATACTATCTGTCAAATTGATCATTTTCATATCCTAAAGTCATTATATTTCTCTTTAGGGTATTGAATCATCAAAATTTGGTGTTGACAGCTATGCATTAAAATAGCAATCCATATTAATCGAGTGGCCAATGACTTCAAATGGCACTATTATCAAAAATAGAAATTCCATCAGACAGCAATATGCTAAGGTACTATTTACAAAAGGTATCCATACTAAACTGTAATTTTCTCACACTTTCATCAATATAACCAAGAACCAAAAAGAAAAAAATGGGGCAGTCCCACTCATTTTTAGACATACATTTAAATACAAACATCTCACAACCCGCTGATCCAATGTTAAGTATTATTTGAAGTTTCTTTCTGAACATGACAGTTGTACTCAACTGGCAGAAAAATCATGTTAGACAACTCCAAATAAATCGTACCAGTTCTCCAATCACAACACCCACTCGAAGTTACATATGTGTTCTTTACCAATAAAAGGGACTAAAATCCAAAATCCACAAGTAATGATGACCATCGAGATAAGCTAATTATTTCCCTTGAATCCTCCCTCCCATGCTCCCAAACACCCAAATAAAGAAACACTCCTGGTGTTACATTCACGCCTTAACATCAATGATAAGAACAAACACAATCGGCAGCGTTTCCATAACAAATAAGGTTGAACTTATGATAACTCAAAGAAAACTTACACATGTATTTCTGCGCATATTAAAGTAGTTCATCAAGCATGTCTTTATCAGAATACAAATAATCACTCAAATTGCTCTCTATAGCAATTAAGCCAATCAACAAACCACCTTAATCAAAGGAGAGAAGTCTTTTGAATTGTTTGAATGTTATTATCCTATACTTTCCTAATTCCTATGGTGCTAGCTATTTTGTTCAGAGACCACAAGTATTATTAAAGAAGGCAATCCTGATCAAGCAGGATAAGAACATTGTCATCAACAAAACTTTCTTTTAAAGTATTTAACACATCCAGGGACATGATTAATTCACGTGCTGGGCAATGTGGCTCTAGCTAAATGATAGAATACAAATGCATGTAAAGTGCACGTGCCATGAGGGCATTTTGTTTGAAAGAAAAGCCGAGGAAGTTAAGTTAGTTGTGTTAGGCAATATATCAAACACATGAAAGGCAGACGCTGAAGAGCGCAATGTGGCCCACGAAAGCAAAAACTAGCAACAACCCATTATTGATACTAAATAAAGTAAGAAAAGGAAGCATTAAAAAAAAAGAAGAAGAAGAAAAGGGACCTCCAAACGCAAGATTAGAAAGCAACAGAAGGCGCCAAATGAACTTGCAGCGTTTCATGAGCAAATCAGTTGGAGGCAGAGGTGGGGGAGCTTCACCATTCGTCATTTTGATCACTGACTCTTCACTTTGTGATTCGTGCTACCAAACAAACCTGAGATGGTCACGTTCTACTTCTTGATCTTCACACTTCACGAGTCACCCTTTTCCTTTGTTTCTTTTCCCAAAATTAACTGTTGTTAAAGTTTGACTTTTTATTCAGGACCCATTGTGCTACATAACACAACGGACATTAATTCATGGAATAGCCCATCATACGGCCCAATCATCATTCGTCCATATTTCCAATTTTACCGGAATCAATCACGCGCTATCCAATATAAAATGGGAAAAAAAAACTATCAACCAAATCAAGATGAAAAACACCTTTCTGTAAAAGTATAAAATTGGTTTATTTTCTTAAAATAACTTACTTTAAAACAAGTGTTGGTTTAATGGATTCGATTCTTTTAAGTAAAATTTCAACTTTGATTGTGTGTATGAAAATAACGTGATTACAATGAGAATCTACTAAATATAGTTAATTAGATCTTCCAATAAAATAAGTTTTCATCAAAGTTAATAAATATTTTATACTAATAACATAATATAGTTAAAAATAATAATTTTTTAAAATGAAAATTAATATTGTTAGATAAAGAAAAGGAAAGAATATTTTTTTTATACAAAGGTGACGGGTTTGTAAAACGGTTCCTATATCTAGGTGATACATTTTGGAGACATGATATATTAATTTTAGTTGTCTCAAAATAATATTTTGTGTTATCAGTTAAACAATAGGAATGTGAAAATTAGTTGAATCTAGTAGGTCGATTCATTTCACCTGCTAATTCGCCAATTTAACGTGTCACTGAATGAGTTGGATTGTGATTTTTCTAAAATATTTTTATGTATTATTTCATTAAATACTAATTCCAGTTCTAAACATAAGAAAAAATTATTGAGATAAAAAATAATAATCAATATGATTATTTTTAATTAATTTTAGCATAAATTTAAGTTTTATTCAAAATATACTATTTATTTTGACGACTATTATATTTAATATTAGTTAGGATAAAAAATATATATCTTGTTGAAAATATTTTATGAACTATGAATAGATTTTGTATATAGATTTTATGTTTTTGTTATTTTGCATTGTATTTATTTAGTTCATGATGATAAATTTTAGAAAAGATTTGTGTTAAGATAATTTAGTTAGATTATATATATATATATATATATACTGAAATAGGATGATATAATTATGATTTGTGATATTATTATTGTAAGATAGGTTCGAGTCAACCTATCTTGTTAGTTTATTCAATTGTCAACTGATTTTGTTATAAGAGAATAGTTGATTGATGTGTCTCGTCATTTATAATAATTTAAGTAAAGTACTAGATAAGGAAAATTGTACCATCCTAGGTCCATGGCTAACTTATCTCTTAGGCTTATAGCCGGCCTTCTTCTTAAGCTCATGGCCAATCGACTAATAACTATTGTACTTTTATAGGCTTATGGCTGACCGATCATGTTTTACAACTGACCTACTCATAAGAGGTCACTAACTAAGTTGTTATTCTAGTTATAATGATTCAATTGAAATAATGGATAAAATATATAAAAATCACTAATTTTATAAGATAAGTATACTCGAGATAAGTGGAACTTAAGGATCATGTATGTGATAGAAAAACGTTGAGGTTACAATCACGAGACAAGTTAAAAAATTAGGGTCACAAAGTCCTACTACTATGTTAAAAAGGAGTCTCTTCACAGGGAGACATGTATTCATTCTAGAAACAGAAAAGAGAAAAGAAAGAAATGAATTATGAAGTGCTTCGGTGACGAGATCATCTTTATGGCCAAAACATTCTAGTTGAAACTAAGAGACAAAAGTGACCTCTGCCTCTTCTTCAAGTACCAATGTTCTACTCATAAGTTTGTTGGTAGTGTGAGGATCACTGCGTTTAAAGTATTGTGTTTGTTTTTAATGAATATCGGAACAAGTCCCCATAGTCGAGACTAAGGGGCAAGAGTGTCGTAGGGTCCTCCTTCAAAACGTTAATGTTTTGACCATAAACTCACTAACATCGTTAGGATCATCTCGTTTGACGTATTGACGACTTTAACACTCATTAGATCATTATAGTTTTGTTCTTGAAAAGATCCCTCAACAGATTAAGGAGAAAAATTATTTATAAATTACTCTTAGTCTCAATTCTTAAGTGGCGTGCAACTTTTAGGTATAGAAAAATAATTATGTTTATGTTTGAATGGTTATTTATTTTTATTTATTTGATCGATAATATGACTTATCACTCATCTATTTTTATAATTATTTTAATAATTTTTATGGATCATTATACATTAACTCACAAATTACTAAAATCAATTTAGATAGGCTAAATCAACTCAACTCATTTTTTTTAAGATTAAAGATGAATTGAGTTAGTTGAGTTATTAAGATGTATTTATTTATTTTTATATATCTATAAAAAAAATCATTCATATATACAAAATAAAAAGAAAAAAGTTATATACTAACAATATAAAGTAATTTTATAATGTCATCCAAATATAAATCACATATAATGCGCTTGTCAACTATTGTAATTTGGAATTTTTTGTATTATTATAGATGGAGTATATGATTTAACCAATATTGTTCGTATTTTTTTTTATATTATACATATATATATATATATATATTTTTTTTTTTTATTTATGTTATTATTTAAGTAATGTAACTTAAGCATGTAACTTACATTTTTTATGACTTCATTATCTACAATTTTGAGATAAAATTGTGTTTAATTATTTATAATTTTTTTCAAAACAATTTTTTTCATTGAATATCTTATGACTGGAATTGATTCATTTTTGTTTAATATTGAGTTAGTTTGGCTCGAGTTAAAAAAATAATAATAAAAAACCGAACAATTTATACCCTAACTCGATCAAAACCGAGTAAGAATCAAATAAGTATCCTCGGTTCAGATTCACTTCTCATGGCGATAGATCACCATTTTTATAAACACACTTATACATGCACATGACTACTTTTATACAGAAATTTCAAACAATCCATGTTTTATCATTCGTTGTCCGAGTTCAGTCTCGTTCATGGCAGGGAGGATATAGAAAAGGCACTCTAGTTTCGAATTTGTTGTGGCAGTTTTGTCTCGAACTAAAATCGGCATCTTAACTGAACCACAATTATGGCCACCATGCTTGCATGCTCTTTCTGTCACTGAAGAGTCAAGGCTATGTGCTAATACAGTTAGTTACTATGCAGTATTATATATGAAGCAAAGTCCAAATCAACAGGACATCCCACAAAGAGGGCCTCCCAGGAAACACAAAGCTGCATTCCGGACATGAATCATCACTTTCATGATTGAGAATCTCATCAGGTCAATGCGGAATAATTAATAACTTTTTGAGTGAGCTGTGGGAAAAGGTCGAATAAAGGAGCCCAATGAACATGGGAAAGAAAGAAAAAAAGTAGTCATGTTGCTTTCTCATCTGCTACACCTTAACATTCCACTTAACTTCACTAACCGGGTCGATCTAACACTCATTAGTTATTATGGTTGTTCCTAATCAATGTCCTTAAAGTTCTGATTAAGAAATCAGTATTTTTTTTATTTATTAAAAGGTGTATAGGCATAATCTTCCGTAAAATTTCATTCTTCTTTTGATTTCTTAATTAAAAATATTGGTTAGCATTTTCATTATTATAGATAACTCCATTGTTAACATATATTGAATCTAGCTATAAGCTTAATTACTCCAAGAGCATGCATTCAAAATGAATATTATCATATTGATAGTTCTTTTAATTAGCTTGTGCTGACTATGATTGGTTCCTGGCTATATATTAAGAAAATTACATTGAGTTCAGTAATTTATCTAACACGAGAAATAAATGAAAAACTAGATTAATAGCATAGTAAGCAATGATATATGTTCACCATATATAAAACCCTTGTAAATTTTATTGAACTAGTTGGGATAAAGAGAAATCCATCAAGAAGAGACCCACACTTTTTGGTCGTCAACTTGTTCAAATCAAACATTACACATAAGATCACTCACAACCTAACTAACTGCATTACATCCTCTTCTGGCACTCGCACATGCATATAGCACAAACCATTGATCTAACCAAAACTAGTCGTAAGACAACAATACAAGAAACCTAATTAACGATAGCTAGCTATGAAATTAAACTTCATCCATGAACAAGGCCATAAGATAGAGCCATGAGAAGGATCGCAGCCTCCTTCTCGTCCTGAGGGAAAACTTGATGCATAGCCAAGTTCTTTCTCAAGCGTAGCGTCAAATCCTCAAAGCCAAACTTGCTTCTACTTTGAGATGGCTTTGCTCCAAGCTTGCGCTTCTTTTTCATCTGTGGGGCACCCTCAATTCTTGACTTCTTCTCTTTCTTCTGCAACTTGTTTCCCTTCACAGATTTCTCAGCTTCCACAAGAACTGTTCCATTTCCCGCTGCTGCTGCTGCCGCCGCCATGGCACGTCTTGCCTTCCTTTGTCGAATCCCACAAGCGTTGCAAAGTGACTGCCACACAAATTACATAAATTTAATTTCAACATAATAATAACTACAGATATTCCTGTTAATTTTACTTTGAGCATGTTTAGATACATGCTAAAAAGTGTTTCTTTATTAAAAAAAGATTTTATCTTTGATAGAAAAATTTTCAAAAACTCTTTCTAAACTTTAATTCGAAAAGACTTTTATTGAGCTTTGACAAGTTAAAAGTAAAGTTATTGATTTGTTTTTGTTGTGTACTGTGTGACTTAAAAAAAAGAATTGTAGAGCTTTGGTAATTAGTACGGAAACTGTTGAGTACGAATCCATTATAGGGATTTGTGTTTTATAAGATAAGGTTTATGTACCTTGGGGCCTCTTGGTCCACTCCTCCAGAGAGGGGTCTTGGTGGTGTGGCAGTCAGCGCAAACCCTAACTGTGTTATTACCATGGTTTGAGTAGTTGTTGCTGCTGCTATTATCAGTTCCAAGCGGTGACAATGGTTGCTTTTGATCTTCAAACTTGTGCCTAGTGTTGTCTGCAACACATGCGTCAGTTTGATCCGACACCACCATCTTCCGCGTCATTCTCATCTTTGAAGACATCCAGTTCATCGAACCATCCTCAGCAACTGCTTCAAGATTTTCATTCCTCTCTTCTTTCTTCCAAACTGTCACCTTCTGCTCACTTTCTGCCACCGACTGATCCCGTGATCCGCTAGGAGGGATAATCTTCTCAGCCTATATAATAAAGATCGCACGATCAAAAATCAAAACAAGAAGATATATACATAATAATATATTACAGTGATCATAAAGATTATGATCAAGGGTATATGTATGTATATGTCATGTCACCTCTTCATGATCGCTTGGTATTTTCTTTTCTGTTGGTTGCCAATAGTATGATCGAGCTTCTTGATCTTGATCTGGCGGGTTGAAGAGAATAGGGTAGGATGATGATAGAGAAGAAAAGGAAGAGGATGCGTGATGATTTGGACTGAGGAGTTCGTGGTTCTGATCTTCGTTAAGATCCAGAGGCATAACAGAAGATACTGAATGGCGATAGGCTGGAATCATGATGGACGCACACACATAAAAACACACAGACAGAGACAAATTAATTCAGCAAGGTACAGAGAGAAGTGGGAGAGAAAGGGGTGAGTGCAATATGCAAAAACTGAAACAGTCTTCCTTTTGTCCAATACAAAGGTGGAAGAGGATTGAGAGGGAGAAAAGAAATGGCCAACGTACACTTCCTATATACTCATGTGAATGGGAAGCGGCGGAGATAACTTTATATCATCATATATATACTTGACTTTATACCATCGTCATTTATACACTTCAAAGTTAATAAGATTTTTCTTTTCTTATTATACCTGACCCTAAATTAACTAATGTCAATCAATAACTTGAGTCTCCACTCTTTCGAATGCAAAAATGTTTATAAATTAAAAGGATATTTACTTATCTCGAACTTTTAATGAAGATTAGTCTTTTATTATTCGAAGTTAGTAATGAATAAAAAAAATAATGTAAAATTTATTTAACTTAACTGATAATTTAATTTTTGTTTAAGGTAATCTTACTTATTCAAATAAGATTTTTTGTATTCTTACAGTAGATATGTATCAAAATAAATATATATCAATTCATTATAAATTTTTTGTTTTTTTTAATTATATTGTTAATATATAGGTAACGTTTATAATATATATATATATATATATATATATATATATATATATAAGTGTGTAATTTTGTTGTTTCAGAAATTCAATATTTAACAAAATATTGATATGACACCTCTATTAATTTCATTGCCACATAATACATTTATAGTGATAGGAAATTATACTATAGTGTTTTTATTGCAAGACATTCTACTATGCTATTAAGATAATTATTTTGTTGTATCAGATGCAATAATGAATTAAGATTGCACAGTCAAAATAATAATGAAACAAATTCACAAAAAAGATACTAAGTTCGTTAAATGACGAGAATAACAAAACTAAAAGTACAATTAAGTTTAATAAAAAAAATTAGAAAATTTATATTTCTAAAGATTTAATTTCTTAGCATATTTTTCCCTTTATTTTTTAATCGCATAGTAGAAGACTAATATGTAATATCTTAATGAATGTACTGATTAAATTTCTTGAAGTATTAAACGGAGGTTAGTTCCCATAATTGATATATGATCTGATTAGAGTTGTGTCTTAGAGGAGTAAGTGTAAAATGAAAAGAATATAAAGAAGCAAGTGAAACTAGCTAGCGGTTTGTAAGAAATTAAAAGCCATCGCTATAAGACGTTCACGTGATTTCATGACAGCTAAAAGAGACAAAGTTAAAAAGACAAAAAGAAATGGAGTGTGTGGAATGCTACGAGGCTGACCCCATACGTATGACAAAACCTTATCTGCAGACAGTTTTTACAGCTGCATTAATATTTACTAACCGTGGAGTCATGGTTGAATATTGAAACTTTAGGGTTTGGAATAAGTTGAGTGAAATTTTAAGATGAGCAGCTATACTTGTTGTGCATTGCCAAAAAGCATTGAATGCTGCTGCAGGCAAATGGACAGGTCCCAACTCAGAATGAGAATATTTTTGGGGAGACGCCACACCCAATTTTAAATTTCCTAATCTCCCAATATAGATACCTCCTTTGTCTCATAATTGATAGAGAATAACGAACGTAAATCATCAACCATGGCTATTGGCTAGCAAGCTAATGACAGAAACAGATTACGCGACTTTAAAAATCAAAGTTATCACCACTTTCTCTATTTTTTCCTTTTATTTTTTTTGAAGTGTCCTAAAATGGTACAAAATAAATAAAATATAAAATACAATAATTAAAAATAAAAAATATATATTTTTCAGGCTTAAATATTTTTTGTTCATGTAGTTATCAATTTTTCTGTTTTTGGACCCTAATTTTTTTTTCTTAATATAGCTTTTTTATTGTTTATACATGACATGTCAAACTCAAAATGGCTATAATTTACTTGAAATGGTGACTATTTAACGAACACATCGTGCAAAAATAGTATAAATAAATAAATAACGACAGAGACAAAAAAAATTACAGAAAAAATTATAGGGACAAAAAATGAAAAACAAGAATATTATAAAAGAAATTAAGCTTGGAAAATAAAATTCTCTTTATTTGTATATTTTATATTTTTCTAGAGTGTTTTATTTATTTTGTAACATTTTAAGACATTTGACAAAATCTGAAAGAAAAATATTGATCTAATGATTAACAATGGATCAAAGAAAGTTACGGGGACTTTAATTCTCCAAAGTCATTGAATCTATTTTCACTAATGATTACGGAAAAAGTATCTATAGAGAGTAGACAATACATTCATATTATACAAGTAATTATCCTGCATATAATTGTACAAATATTTTTTAATTTAAGTAAAAAAATATATATACCTCTCTTTTTGGTTTCTCAAATGTATCTTCTTTTGACAATTCTGTTTGAGACATAATCAGATTCGAACCTACATTCGCCATGCTGTTGGGACTAGCCCTCTTTTGCTAGACATAACTTGATTGTTAGAAAAAAGAGCTTTAGTCAATGGAAAAAAAAAAATTGTGTTTAATTTTAATAGTTCAAAATTGTAAATGTAAATTGATAAGTTGTTAGTACGAGAAAATTGAATGAAGTTCATCTTTTAAGAAAAATTTTGGATTCATGTTTTCTTAATATATATATATATATATATATATATATATATATATATAAAATA